ACATCCCCTCCACTGCACCAGCTGACAACATCCCCTCCACTGCACCAGCTGACAACATCCCCTCCACTGCACCAGCTGACAACATCCCCTCCACTGCACCAGCTGACACCATTCATTCATTCAACATAAATGAACAAATGACCAATTATGCAATAAGTAAAATTACCAAACTAATGTAATTAAAAGAAGTAAATTAACGAAATAAATAGAATAAAGAATTTATTGTCGAACAGCAGTTTGCAAGAGACGCGTTGGTGCGCGAGACAACAACCTTCAATTGTCATCACAAAAGATAACAAACAAAACGAAATGAAACAATGGAGCGAAGCACGCGCGACATTGAGACGCTGCTTACGTTATACCTTGCGTTATACGTTGCGTTATACGTTGCGTTATATGTTGCGTTATACGTTGTGTAACGCACGTGCTGCGTTAACGTCGTCCACTGCGGCGACTTTAGTGCTGTGCACTAGCGTTATTATTCGACTATCGTTACTAGTGCACTAACGTTACTAGTGCACTAGCGTCATTAGTCGACTAACGTTACTAGTGCACTAGCGTCACTAGCTTTACTAGTGCTCTATCATCACTAGCGTTACTAGTACTCTAGCGTCACTAGCTTTACTAGTTACTCTAGCATCACTAGCGTTACTAGTGTACTAAGTTAACAATATATGTCGAGAACGTCTCTATAATTAAATTAACAATTATTGCATTAACTTTGTCATTCCCTTCACCGCAAGTCGCGCACTCACGACTCACTACCAACAAATTCCCCCCAAAAAAAAAAACATGTAAAAATTTTTTCAGAAATTTCGACATGAAACTACGGAAAGTTTTCGATTTATGGCCCACAAAAGTCCTTCTCCGGGGCCCTGAATCCTGCAACTCCATCAGGATACTGATTCCTGAGCGACTTTAAGAAAAAGAAAGGAGATAATAAATTTACAGCGGGTATAGTATGAAAAAAATTTAAATATGGATCATGATGCAAAAAAAAATTCAAGAAAAGAAGGAAATAATTATTTTAAAAGCAATAATAAAAGATAATAAGTCGCAATCACTTCAATTTTGTGTCGTTCAGGGAAAAATTATTTTATCTTCCCTAAAAATATTTCGAATTTTTTTTTTTAAAGAAAAATATGTAATAAAATAAAGATATCCACAAACCTCCCAAAAATAAACCGAAATATATAATGTTCTATGATAAATTGAAAGATTCTCTGAATATTTTAGGACGCTAATGAATAAAGAAATGATTTTCGTATCAAATCACAAAATATGATTATTCTCAGAGATTTTCGACGGCAATAAAGTTTCCAGAAATTCGACCATTTTTCGAATGTGCCAGAAAAAAAATTCCGAATTGTGCGCGCAGGGGCGGAGGAAGTTATAACGGCGCACTGGAATATTCCAATTCCATGTTTACAAACTTATCCTCGTCCAATTCTAAATAGGAAAACCAATTGAAAATTGGTGTATCCAATGAGAGATGAGCTACGCGCTGCCGATGCTGCGACGCCACTACTGATGGCGCGAGTCCCCGTAGGAATAGCATTGCGGCGGTCGGGAAAACGTCGGGGCGAGATATGAAATAGTGGAAATTGTGACGTAACTTGAGTATTGGGCTGCCATTGCTCGGCAAGATGACGTCATGGGTTACTTCGACTGTGATTGGTTGTGTGAATTCCATGTAAATGCTTGGAAAATAATCACGTGTTTGAGTTGGAGCTTCGCTATTGGCGGGATAACGAACATTAACATGAGGAAACCCTCCCTGATTGGTTCAAAAACAGAGCTCGAGAAATGTTCTTTAAACATCATTTGCGTTTTGGACGTGTTTCAATACTATTGGAAACGATATAATTTATGATGATGTACAAGAGCTCATATTTGCTCAACATCTAAATGAGAATTTTGCGCGCTGTGCCAAATAGATAAGAGTTAAATGACTCGTATGTTTGATGATGAAAGATTCACTTACGTTGGAGAATTTTTAATATTTATTAAAATTTCAGGCTGCGTGATCACAATTTTGCTGTGAACTCTGCTGAACATTTTCGATACTTCGAAGAAAATTGAAGCACGGGAATTGGTTCGCTCTTCGCAATAAATTTATTTTAATATGCAAATTAATATTATGAAGAAGATGCGTTTAATTTTTTTTTTAGTTTACAAGCGATTTCCATCGTGCGCAAAAAAAATATTAATAAAATATTGCTATAAATGAGATGAAAGATACATATGTTGAAAAATCCACGGAGTCTGCGTCAAATATTTTAGTTACGTCGATGAAATACGATAAGAAGATTATATAGATATAGATTTAAAATAGATTTTATTAATATCTATATATATTACTTAAATCTATAGATATATATTTAAGAAGATTATATAGATTTAATGGCTTAATACGGAATAAATAGATTTAATAATACGGAATAAATAGCGAAATATTTGGAATAATTGTAATCAGGATATGCGATCTATTGGCAAGTGACACGTGCTTACTGACAATAGTGGTTAGTGGAGGCATCATAATTCAGGATTAAATGCACAGCGGCAGCACAGCAATCACAGCATATAGCACAGTACAGCACAGTACAGTACAGTACAATACAGTACAGTACTACACAGTACAGTACAGTACAGTACAGTAGGGGGATGGTAGTAGCCCCCCATCATTGAGTGTGGGGTCGAGTAGACGGGACTGCTCGGAGACATCATACCCTGGTGTGTCATGTAGCTTGTGGAGCTGCAAAAACAAAATCATAATTGCTACATACAAAAAATATACAACAACAATTGTGAGATTGAATGAAAAACACAACTTGGAATGACCAATTGCATATATACTATATACGGTACCGGTATGCTAATAGTCAATGCAGCTGAACACATCTTTATACATGCATCTGTACATATTGTTACAATTTTCTGACAACTTTTAAACAATTTTATACAATAACCAGTCCCAGTAGAAAAGCAAAAAATAATACTAAAAAAATACCCACTGATAAAAATTAGTTCCATCAGATTTTCAATGTATGAGAAAATAATATATTAGACTGTACATAAAGACAATTGCACAAGTGGAGTAGAAACTGTGAGAAATTATACCTTTTCACAAGCAATAAGGAAGAGAGGTCACATTAATTGGGATTAATTGAATCTAATTTCATCTATACAAGGATATAAGGCTTGTCTGGTTGGTCAGGTCAGAGCATAAAATAAAGGTCATGAAACAGATGTCATAAAACAGATGTCATAAAACAGATGCCATGAAACAGATGTCATAAAACAGATGTCAGGAAATTCATAATTTCAGCACTTCTACTGCACTGAAAAATAAGATACCTACTTAAAGCTACTTGCCATGTAAATGTAATATTTCAATAGTACAGTAGGTACCTACATTAATGTTGCGTTAAATTTGTGGTACAAGGTCTCTTGATCAAAAACTACCCAAAATCAATGAAAATAAATTGTTTCATGAATTTTGAGATGAATAATGATAAAATGATGCGTTGGAATAAAACAAGGAACACAAGACACAAGAATCTTGGTATATTCAATGCTTAGTTGATGGCATGCAATAGATAGGAAATGAAGCAGAGCAAAGCAAGTCAGGGAAATTACAAGCTTTTGTGACAAGGTAATGAGAGGTCTAATCTTCTATACTACTGTAAAATGGGGTTACTTTGACTCCCAGGGTAACTTTGACCACTTTTCGTTTTTTTAACAAAAACCCCAAACTCAAAAATTATTTGACATAGAAAAATTTTGTCAATGGCCATCAAAGGCCTAATACTGAGGCTACGTAACACAATAGAAAGATTTAAAAAGTTTGCATATCTAATAGGTTAAAAAATTAAAAATGTGACCCACGAAAAAGAGCTATTATTCAAATGTTTGATACACCAATTAATATTTTTTCTTTATGTTACAGACTCTACAGAGTCTTATATATGGTA